CTTCTGGAGGAGTAGGAGGAGGAGGAGGAGGAGGAGGAGGAGGAGGAGGAGGAAGAGGAGGACGACGACGACGACGATGACAACGACCTCCTCGGTCTCAGGCTATCCAGCGCGCCCCCGCCGCCCCAGACAGCGGCAGCATAATCGACGCCGGCGACGCGGAGACAGACGACGCCGAGGAGCTCTCCAGGCGGGACCGGGGGTCGTCGCCGCCAGCGTCGTCGCCCTCCAAAGAGCCCCGCGTGCGAGCGGCGGAACGCGAAGCGCCAACCGAGGCTGGCTTAGCGTGTCGCGCCGCCGGTTCTGGCCCACCACGCTTCGGCGCGACACTCTATCCACTTCCTTGTCATCTTCACGAGTTTTTCCCAGCCTCCCGCCCCGCGGAGCGGAGCGACACGCTATATATCCGTTCGCACGGCATAGCGTGTTGCCAGGGCCGCTGCCGCGACACGCTAAGCAAAAGTCCGTAAGCGCATGTAAGTGCAAGCGCTGCTCGGGGAGAGTTGCAATACATAACATGGTAGCCGCCCGAAGTTTTAGACGGATCGGCAAGCTCGCTACAATCCCCAAATTGCCATGCGCACATCGGGAATGCGCCAGCCTGGAACGAGTTCATGCCGGGAAAGAGGAGGTCGCAACAGAGATTCGCTCCGAACCCGCCTGCCTCCAGACGTCGAGCGGGCCCAGGACTGGGATATATCGGCCTTGAGCGTTCCGGAACGCTCTGAGAAAAATCCCGAGCGCTCTGGGACAGCAGCAGCGACCAGTATGTCGCAGACACATGCGATGACAAACCACGACCCAAGCCCCAGAGTCCCAATCGTTCTGCGACGTGTTTCGAGCCGGATCCAGCTGTGGTGGTCGGTGGTCCCAGAGCCAGGCACGCTGTCCAGCTCCCTTGCCAGCGTCTCCAATACGTGTTTCGCGCGCTTTGAAGAGCTTCCGGACAAGCGTATGGAGAAACACGTAGAGAAGTCACTTCGGGACACGCTGCAGCTTCAAGCAAGTTGCGCCGGGGCTTCCTGCCCGCCGCCGAAACGAGCTCCAGGGCTACCCTGCGGCTCCAGCTTCTTATCCTGAAGCCCTCTTGATAGCAGGGCGCCCAAAGGAGGGCGTGAAAAGGCCCGTCGAGGAACTCTAGAAGCTGACCTTCTGGAGAGCTTCCGAACCCGCGTATTGGAAAACGTTTAGAAAAAAGGCCTCCTGGATGAAAGATATGCAGCGCCCAGATTTCGGCGTGTAAACCATGCCAGCGCCCAGTAGGCATAGGCTACCCCAGATAGGGTCCGAGTAGATGGGATTGGAGGATCGTGCCGCTGCATCGTCGATACATCGGCGGCGTTTGCGGTGCATTCGACGCGGCGCGATCCCCCGACCCCAGGTATCCGGACCCCATCTGCCCACGCATGAGACGTCCTGATTTTTTCAGTACGGGGTTTCTGGAAGTCCCGACCCTTTCCCCAGGACCGGTTTTTCATTCTACGCCATGTTTTTACGGTCCCGAGGCCCAGCGAGAGTCCTCGAGGCCGAAAATTGCCAAAGACCTCCCGTCCTGATTCTTTAACGACGCGATCATGTCTGGGCAGCAAGCCTTAGGCAAGGCCGCCTGAGGCTCGGCACACGCCGCCCGAGCGGAGGTGCGTCCGCGAGCTCTCCGTCGCGCTCGCGGACAAGCGCCGCCGGCGCGCCGCGCTGGTGGCGCGGCTTGCCGCGGCAGAGGCTCAGGCGCCCAGCGGCCGGCGGCGGCCCTTGGCCCTCGGCAGCGTCCGGGGAGGCGACGATGAGGACGACGACGACGACGAGGACGACGACGACGAAGACGAGGACGACGACGACGAAGACGACGACGACGACGAAGACGGCGGCGGCGACGAAGACGACGACGACGACGACGACGACGACGACGACGACGACGACGACGACGACGACGACGGCGGCGGCGGCGGCGGCGGGATCCAGCCGGAGGATCGAGGATCGAGGAGGGGCAGGAGTAAGGAGGAGGAGGAGGGTAGAGAAGTAAGAGGAGGACGTGGAGGAGGAGGAGGAGGAGGAGGAGGAGGAGGAGGAGGAGGAGGAGGACAAGGAGGAAGAAGATCGAACAGGAGGACCCAGGATCGAGCAGGAGGCGAATCGAGACAGAGGAGGAAGAGGATTCTTCCCCCCCCCCCGCCTCGCGCCCTCGGCGCGGACGGCCGCCGAGCACCGCCCGCGGGAGGGTGGGCGGGCCGTCGTCAGAGCCTGCGAGGGGGAGTCGTTAGGGGAACGGGAGTTAGGGTTTGCTGGGTTTTCGCTGCTTCGCCCTTTCGGAAGGGGAGGGTTTTCCAGGTTGTCGGCGGTTTCGGAGGGGCCTCGAGGTCCTGGCGTATTCGCAGCTTCTCGGCAGTTCTCCAGCCTCGGGGTGCCCCCTCCAGCGGCTGCGCCCCGCCGAGAGCGTTTCAGGGGTGCCCCGGGTCGCCCCGAACGGCCATCAGAGAGCCGAGTTATGACCCGACAATGAAGGAGGAACGTGTGGGGGGATAGGCTCAGGGGGAGCTGCATCGGCCCACGATCGCCCATTCATCGCTGATGGGGGCCCGATAGCCCACCCGCAGGAACGTGCGGACTCGCTGTCGGGGGCCGATCGATGATCTATCGGCGATGCATCGCCGATTCCAGGTCGATGTTTCCCGCCCCGATCCGGCCCCCCCCCCCCGAACGTTCCCCCCTCACTGCGGGGGATGGGTTGGTCGAAGAGCCGGGATCGCTGCGATCAGCTGCCACGCCGAAAATCGATGGACTTTCTGGGGTCTCAGGGTTGGGTTTCTTGTGGAAGGTCTCTTGTGGTCGGGCACCCATTGTACAGCATCTCAGAAGGAGTCTCTTGTGCCCGAGTCCGGGGCCACTGCAAGTTTTTGGCCTCTTCACTGCACTGCTGTTGGCTGCTTCGTCGCGTGCGTCTGGGAGGAAAGCCCTCTAGAAGGGCAGCGGATTTCCAGAGTGGCGGAGCGATCGAATCGAACCTTCAGGCGATTTCGTTGCGGTGGGGGGAAAAAAAATCTCAGAAGGAGTCGAGAGCGACCGCCCGCTCGAGAAGATCGACCCACCACAGTCGGGCTGCTTCCCTGGGATCGGCGACGAGCAAGGGGGGGGACTGAGAAGGAGAAGGCCTTCTCAGAAGGCATCGAGGCTTCTCAGAAGCCCTCGCGCCTTCTGAGAGGTTTTTGTCGTGTTTTCGGGGATGGCCCAGAGAACTTCTCGGACGGCCGGGGGACTTCCGGACCCTCTGAGAAGGCCTTCTCCATCGCACTTCCCCCCCCTCTCGCTCGCCACCGCTAGGAGGAGGCGGCCGCCCAGACCTTCACCCCTGACATCCGGCCCAGCGCGCACCCGCCCGCCGCTCGGGCTGCGAGGGCGGGCGGCGCAACGGGGGGGCCTTCCGAGGGCCGCGAGGGAGAGCCAGCAGCCGCTGTGGGCCGCCTCGGGCCAGGACCCCCCAGGCTTCAGCCACGGGACCCACTCCGCTCGGGAAAGGCCAGAGTGCGCGTCCGAAGGGGAGTGACCAGGCGGCGCCGCGGGTCCGAATCGCAAGGATGCAGACCCTTGCGGGCCCTCGAACCGCGCTCGTTTGTCTCGGCGGTGGCTTGCGACGGCTTAGAAACAAAAATCGAGTCCCTTCTCTTGATCTGGGCGCAAGAGAAAACTTCTCATTCAATTGCCCGCGTCCGCGGGTCCAGCACGTCGGCCTCCATACCGTGATGCTCACGATGACTCCACGGACGGTCGGGTTAAGGTTCGGGGGAAGGCGATTGCGACGACGACGCTGACGGAGGATTGGCCTCTTTTGTCTTGGCAGGGGCTTCCGAAGACTTACCAGAACCCTTCAAAACGCACCTCTCTCTTGAACTTGGGCGCAAGAGAAAGCGCTACAGCTAGCAAAGATCAATGGTTTGCTGTCAACGGTTCGCGTCCGATCGAGCACGTCGATGTCAATCAGTTGCTGATTTCACAGACGGTCAGGGTGAGGTTCAGGGGAAGGCGATTGCGAAGACGAAGACGACGACGACGACGGCGGCGACGACGACGACGACGGAGGACAGAAGGGCAGTGAGGGCAGGTGAGGGGCACGGGGAGAGGGCGGAGTTGGCGGGCACGGGGGAGGATCGAGGCTCAAGCTGTTTGTAATGTTAGGCTCTGTCGATGGCCCCAGGAGGCCTATGTGCTGGGGCGCCGGCGTAAACTCCCGAGACCTGCGGAGAGAAGGGGTAAGGAGGAGAAGGGGGGAAGGCGAGCGGAGGAAAGAGGGGAAAAGGGACAGGGGCGGGAGCGGCTGGAGGGAAGCATGAGAGGGGACGGGTGGGATGAAGCGTGCACGCCTGTCGGCTCCAGAATGGCGACGTGATGCGGTTTGCGAGTGCAGGATTTCCAAAGACGTGCCGCCGACGTAGTCTGCCAGGGAGTGCTGCTTGGCCTGCCGTCTGGCAGGGCAAGAGGGGCCTCATCTTGCGCATCTGGATGCCATCGTATGCGTTGATTCGAGTTGCCCAAGCACCCGTGCGATTCAATCATTCGAGGGCAGTTGTTTTCCACGTTGCTCCTCCAGCAGTGGCCCGCCGGATCGAGCCCCTCGGATTCAACATCATGGTATTGCTCCAGTGGGTGGAAGTTGGGCAGTTGAGTTGCAGCACGTGGAGGTGAAATCACGGACAGAGCACGATTTACACCCAGGAATGCCTGTCCTTGATGATTCATGAACAGATCGATCCGTCGGCGTGGCATCACGTCGGCGACCACGGATTTCTTTGGGAGGCGCCAGCCGATCCTGGCCAGGCCCATCCTGGGCTCAGCAGTGACCTGGCCAGACTGGTGCAGGCGTATAGTTTAGCCGACGTCCTCCCGTATCAGATACTGTCTGGAATTCTGACTCAGCGTGTCGCGCCGCCGGCTCTGGCCCACCACGCCTCGGCGCGACACGCGTTCCACTGCCCTGCCACAAGGCGTCGACGTCCCGAGTTGTTCCCAGCCTCCCGCCCCGCCGAGCGGAGCAACACGCTGTTATATGTATATATATATATATATATATATGTACACACACTTATATATGAATGTATATATATTATATACATGTATGTATAGATCGGAGTAGGCCAAGGGAGGGTCCTAAACTGCTACCACTGGTTCGCACGGGGGGCCGGTTTGGCCTTGAGGGCTCCAAGGGGGTTCAGAAGGGGCCCCGGACCCCCCCAGAGGCTCCCAAGCTGGCCCAAGAGACGCCCAAAGCGCCCCAGGTTGTCTGGAAGGTGGCTCAAGAGCGCACTGGGATGGCTTCCGGACGGGCCACGAGCGCTCGAAGACAGCCCAAGACTGTTCCTAGACGGCCAAAAAGGCACTCAAGACGGTCCAAGAAGCCGCCGAGAAGGCTCTCCAAGGGCAAACATCAAGCATTCCCATGGGACAGAATACATTTCCTGGATATTTGCTTTTCAATCCTACCAGCGGCCGCGACAGCCCCAGAGGCTCCCAGAATGAGCCCCAGACGGCCCAAGAGGCTCCCAAGAGGGCACCAAGACGCCCCGGAGAGAGCTTCAAGCAGCACAAGAGAGCTGGTCCAAGAGAGTACCCAGGAACCCCGATGGAGCCACCAGAGGACCCCTACATGGTCGGAGAGGGCACCCCGAGGGCCCCAAGACGGGCTCAGGTCCCCATGACGGGCGATGAGGCACCCGGAACGGCCGAACTGGGCTCCAAGAGGGTCCAAAAAAGGACGACCAGGGCTCCCTGAAGACGATCCAGGAGGCCGCTGAGAAGGTTCTTTCGGATGAAGTTGTACGGATGAAGATCTTTCGGCATCCTTCCAGGTTCTCTGGTGCAAACAACTAACATTTCCAATGGAAACACGCACATGTCTATAATATTAACTTCGTATGTTCCATCGGCGGCCACGTCGGCCCCAACGGTCCACGAGGCACCCAAGAGGGTTCCAAGACAGCCTCAAGAGAGCGTCGAGCAGCATAAGAGAGCTCCAAAACAGCCCGAGAGAGTACCCAGGGGGCCCGAGGGGGCCCCCAGAGGATCCCTACATGGTCGGAGAGGGCTCCATGAGGGCCCAAACACGGCTCAGTTACCCATGACATGCCAAGAAGGGATTGAATGAATGAATGAAGCCGCGTGTCCGTAGGCACATGAGCAATGGCACGAGCGTGCGCTAGACAGTATACTTGCGCACCGCTGCTTTCCAGGCTTCCGCTGGAATCGTGCGCGAATCTGACAATTTCCAACCAGAATTGCGACACATCTGCTTAGCATGCTTAGACAATGATGTTGCCCACGCCTGCCGGGGCCTGCCCCTCTTCCGGCGGCCGGGCGCCTGCGCCAGCTCAGAGGATGAAGGTTGGAAGACATCCATGCGGACAGGATGGTCGTCGGCCTTGCGTGCGATTTCCCCGAACAGGATCAATTGCCGTCGCAGCAAGAGGTCGCTGAGCTTGCCGCGCCCGGCTCGCTGCAACACCGCGGCGTTGGTGACTCGACTGACATAAGAATGCCTGCTGCCGAGGGTTCTCCGCAGGCACCGCGCCTGAAAAAAATCATTCTGGCCAGTTCGCGCTGACGTAACCAAGATGTGTGGAGGCTGTACAGCAGCGTCGACTCGACGCACGCAAGGTACACGTTGATCTGTCTCTTGGTTGACATAGAAGAAGGAGACCAAGCACGCTGTAGATAATCGAACTCTGACCTCCGCCGGCTCA